GGCAGTCTCCTGTGAGCGAGAATTAGGGTGGCTCGTCTCAGAGGATCAGCCGTGTATCGTGGAGGCAAGTACCTTCTTCTTGCCGGATTTCCTGGGCGGATTGCTGATACCTTCGGTCAGAGCTACGTTCTTGGCTGATCTAGTGACACGGGGTTCCATCGCGGCGTGTTCGGGCTAGTGAGGGCAGCAGTGGGCTTTGCGAATTGAGGCTGGAGGGGGGCAGGTGGGTGGGAGCAGCTTGGCTCAACCATAGCGTACGTGAAGTCCAGGATTGAGGACGCAAAAAAAGAGGTCCCTGGGCTGATCACGTTAACGCACTTTCGCTTTCTTTCCGTGCCAGCAAATCTCACCATTGTTTCCCTGTGGTATGATTGGCCCATCAGAGCAGACGATCCCTGGCCACCAAAGCGGCGAGCCGTGGGACGACGAGGAGAATGGTTAGTGGGACAGGACTATAAGTAGGACCTTTCAGACGCACCTCCCGCACCCTGCCCACCCTCTCCCCACTCCCTTCCCTTGTTTTCGTAAGTCCCCCATCCCTCCACAACCAGTCCCTCACATCTTGTTTCCAGGTCTGCACATATTCTTGCTAGCCTCTTGTTAGGGGTACATATCTTCTCTCTGTACGCGATCACTCACTCATTCTTCACTGATCTAAGCAAACCTGTCCGGAGCCCATCCAAATACTTTCTTCCCCTCTCTCCGAGTGCATGCTGTACGGTTTGTCCATGCCTATCCCGACTGCCGACTGGGCTGACTTCCCTCAGTTCCCTCCTCCTTGTTCTCTGTGCACCGTTTAGCTTTACCATTTGGTATGTACTATATGTATTTAACCATCCCTACGTCTACTTATTTCCATCACCCGCCTCCACCCGCTCCACCTCCCGCCCGTCGGCCCTCTTGACGATGACCATGATGGTCGGGATCAAGAGGCAGAAGGTGGCTGTGCTCAATTATGGCTTTGTTTGTTGTGAGGTCTCTCGGCAATCGGGAATCCCAGTTCCCGGTTCCCGAGACACCTCACAACAAACAAGGTGCCACCTTTGCACAGCCACCTTTTGGCACTTGATCCCAACTTTCATCATGTCTCGGTAAGTCTTTGTCTGCCGTGTCCCTCGTCGTAGTAGCATAGATACATAGTTACACAACGAATACATGAGAATCTACGTGTCCGCCAAGACATCTTTGAACCGCAATCCAGCGTGTCCCGTGCCGAGTCTCATAGTAGAATATAGAATAGAATACATACTACCTCGCCCTCGCTGGGATGCATGACATGTGCAAGGCTGACATGTTGCTCCTTAGTGCACGCAACCCGTACATTGACGACCGCGCCCAAGTCCAGCGCACCGAGGAGGACGACCAGTATGATGATGACAAAGACTCATCTGAGGCGCAGATCCGACGCGCCAATGAGAAGGACTTCAATATGCGCGGCATTCTGGCGGACCACAATGCCAGAGCGCTATTGACCGCGCCATATCGTATTCCCGCACAATTCCTTCAATTGGGCACGGAAACCCCGGCACGTGGCGAAGACTGGGATCCTGACACCAACATTCCCTCCCCTCGCGCGACTAGCGTCATGCCCATCTGGCTCCCACCTCCGCCAACTGGTTTGCGGGCACCCACTCCCACATACGAGCCCACAGAGCGGACACCATTGGAGGGCAGGTGGACCCGCACCCCCCTCTTCCTGCTGGACCCGGAATCGCGTGGGCCCACTCGCTTCCAGCCGCGCGACTCCCGGGATTTTACACCCTATGTTTCTCCCCGCAACACCATCGCGACCAGCAGTGTACGCCCCGAACTCTAATTGACATTCTAATCCTAACCCTTCCCCTATAGTCCGCTCATCCTCGGCCTGCCTCATCATCTCCTCCACCCGCCGCCAAGCGAGTCCATACCACCTCTCCTCCCTGCGACGAAGCCCACGCCCAGCGCCTATACAAAAAGCTGGTGACGTACCTGGACATGATGGCCACTCCGATGATGAACTGAGGGATTCTGACATCAGTAAGTTTGAGTCCATCACATAGCCGGTATATCTGAAAACCTTTGGTCAGAATTCATCGATGATACCCCTTCAGAAATGCATCACCTGTGGTGATTCAATGACGACGAGGACAATGGCGACCCCGAGGCCTTGGAGGCCATTGCGGCGAGGTTTGATAAGCGCGCCCGCGACTATTCCGTGTCCGCTGCCTGTGAAAAGCATGGCGCGGTAGCATATGTTGCACCCAACAATCCTGCTCTTGGCCTCGTGGTGGGCACGCTCTCAACTTCGGCGGACGTGCGCCCGGCACCCCATAACGAGAGCTTGAGGGCGATGGAACGTCGGCTGAAGCCAGGGCTCCCCGCCGAGAACCCGCCAGTCGTTCCCATGTCGTGGATTCTGCTCAATGGTGGCTTGGCGTTCATGTTGGGCCCAAAGAAAGTGCTCATGGAACACGTCAATCTACCCGTCCCGGAGCCACAGCAGATGGACGAGGAAGAGGACGAGTATTGGTGGAAGGCAAAGCCAGAAGACACGCCAGATCGGTGCGAGGAACGGCAAATTGCCCACATATTGTACCAAAAGAAATACCCAGCAGTCCAGCCCACGATTGATCAACTGGTGCCATTCCGTACTAGTTGCTGCAAGGCCCTCCAGTCCCGGCCGTTTGCAGGGCCAAGTCAGCCTCTCGAAGCTGGGGATTATGCCCTGATTGTGGATGGGGAGCGGCGTGGGCAGACGGCCTATGTGCTGCAGATCGAGGAACTCTCCGCCAACGGCCAGTTCAAATGCATCTGCCAACTCACTCCCCATTTCCCCTTCCACGACACCTGAGAAAAAAGTTTCCCTTACTCACTCTGCCAAATCCTACGGCACATCCTCAGCCCCTCCCCGCCCATCAACATCCTGGATCGCGTGCGGGTCAATTTCGGCCCTCTGTATCGTGGACTCAGCGGGTGCATCAGATCCTTCGATGGGTCGCAAATTACCATCGCGCTTCCGCTCGAGGCACCATTCAACGAGCAGCTGCCATCCACGCTGGTGGCAGACGGTTCGCGGACCATTGAAGTCCCCATTGAAAATCTCAACCGATACTTCCTCCCGGGCGACCACGTCGTCGTCGTCCGTGGCGACCGCAAAAATCTACATGGCCTGGTTATCAAGGTACACACGGACAGCAGCCTTGATTTGTTCATGGTAATTTTTTGTTTATTTGTATCCGCATCTGAAACTGACTCACTGTTGTAGACTCGAGATGGTCGAGAGGTTTTAGATGATGTGGCTATGGGTCCTGGCTGGACAGTCAAAAGACATGAGACGGGGGGCTTCAACTTGGTCGATGTATGTTCAGCTTTTGTTTCAATCATCATGGGGAACTGATAGCCGCCCTAATTTCAAGAGTACGCTGAGGAGCGGGCTCAAACCGTAAGTTTCGGAATTCACACCCAATCTAACAAAATACTGACATGTGGTAGTTGCGAGTAATGAGAGTGGATGTAGATTTTGTCATGTTCGACGCAGAGAACGCCACAGTGCCGTCTTTCAACGATGTACTAGGACGGCTGTGGTCGACGAGCCCCACGGTGCCGCCTTGCTACCGCACATCGATTCATCTGAGGTCATCGAGTACCGAGGTGCAGCCCAGGCAGACGACATGGAGGCATACCTCGCTCAACAAGCCGGCGTCGCGGCAGCTACCATGAAGATGGTTCAGCTGGAACCTCCCGCTACCTTCACCCAACTTCACAGCATCCTCCAGGCAAGAGACAAGGCGGCCGCTTCATCGACCTCCTCGTTGAAGCTGGGCAGCGTCGAATACGCCAATATATATGTCCAGGTCGCGTTCAGACACCGGGATAAGGGGTTTCGGGGACAGATCACCACCTCTTTCGACACGAAGGAACGGAGCAACCACCTGAGAGTGCAGCAGACCTCCCGGCACAGGCACCGATACCTCGAGGGGGATACGAGGGGGATTATGCTCACCATCAAGAACGAGCACAATAACCAGGTCATTGTACCTATAGAGAATGTCATCCACGATTTGTGCGCGTATTCATATTTCAGTTATTTCTTGCTAACCTGACTGCAGGACTCATTTACCTCTGGTTCAAGCTCGATACCTTCCCTCGAGGGTACTTTACGCTCCCCACTTGATGACCCCGTCATCTGCCAAACCCCGCCCTCGCACACCGACACCGCTCCCTCAGGAGAGCGATCCGCAGTGGGGTCTTGAGTGCTCCGCCGAAGAGGAACAACAACAGGTGGCCTGGAAACGAGAACAGGAATCTTTACAACAAAGATTGACCTTCGAATCCAACCAGCAACGTCTCCCTGCTGAACTCGATGGCACATGGCTTGGCACTACCGGTCTGGTGGGAAAGTGCGTTGATGTGGTGATCGAAGGAATCACCACCTTCATGCCCCCAAGAAGAATACGAGAAATTTCGGCCAAAGCCATCGCGTCAGAGGGCCTGCCTGGTGTGGTTCTTCTGACCGAAGCTGTCTCCGACTTCGGGAAACAGCTCACCGTCTTTCGCGTCGGTCCGAAACAACAAAAAATTGTCTTTCCCCCGAGCTACATCAAACCTCGGCGGGACCACCCGCAAAGTGCCCTCATCACGAAGCGCGTCGACCGCGTTATAGTGCTTGGGCCTGACGTTGTGTCGGGTCATACACGCAGACACAGCCGGAAATCATGCATCCCCACAGCGATGATGTGGTCGGAGCTAGACACGCAGATGGTAGCGGCCCCTTTTTTTCCACATCCTGCGACTCTGCCTGTTGAAGAACGAGACGGTCAGGGAGTGTAAATCCTCGGTGTTCCCGGAATAAATGTAATCTACCTTGTAATCAAGCTGTATAAATGTATTATGAATGTCATATAGTAAACAGACCGGACGTGACAATGAAACTAATGAAATGACATGTTGTCGTTTTTTTTAAAAATAGCCTGCCCATGCCCGGTTTATCATGTATAGTCGACATTGCCATACATAGGAACGTCCTGGTAGCTCGGTTGGAAGAGCAGGGCATATCTATGTGTTTCATGGTTTGTTCCCTGCACGGGCGCATGTTCGAGTCATGCCCAGGGCTCATCTTCTAGGCAAAATTTACTTTTATTGGGACGCGGCGCGACGCGTCCATATCACATGCAATTTTTGTGATTGCTGAGAGTCCTCACATCAAGTCTGCTGCTGTTTGGCCTGGGCACCTATTTGGCTCTTGCTTCTGACCGCCATGTACCCCTATGTAGCACTCACTTAGCTTGTAAACCTAGGATATTTGTAGTGTACTGAAGAAAGTAAATTAACCAGTAAACTTATATTGGCCGTGAAACAATTTTCTGTACAGTGGCACATTTTGGCAAGCCTATATTGTGTCTAAACGAGAACCCCGCTTACGCACTGCACTAGATAATCAACGATACCATGGTGCGCCTCAACACCCAAGAACGCAAATTGGCTGCAGCACCCATATCCCCAGCTGCCTACTTCGCCATTCCCGGTCCCAAGGCTCCGCATCCACTTGCCAAAACACTACCTCATCTGAGCAGCTGCCCAGACGTTTACCTGCCAAATGGGCGCACTTTGGTGCAACCGCGTCTGCCCCCGCTTCCGGAGCACCTGTGGTTCGCTGGCGACACACCTGTTGACCCTGGAGATCTAAACGATGTGTACAATGATTGTGACATGGTGGCACCTGAACGCACTCCCCCTCTGGAGCCCACTCGGCATCGATGGAAGCGGGCAGCTCAATGGCGGCGCTGGCAGGGAGAAGTCATCCCTACGGTGATTCCCCACTTTGTGCGTCTCATGTACAAGACCAAGTCCCTGCGCCACTCAGATAGTCTCAACATTCCGCCGTGCACTGCGTGCGGCTGCAACGTCAAGGCCTGCAAAATTGCCATCGTTAGATTCACAGGTATGGCCCATTTCCTATATCCATCCTCGTGCCGCTGGAGGCGTAGCCTCAGGTCGGAAGGGCGGGAGGTCGGCGTCGGCTCGGTGAGACCAGGCGGAGGCTGTGGACTCGGGCTGCGAGACGCTGCGGGATGGACAAGACTAAGAGATGATGTGTGTATGTGTATGTACACGCTGTAATCCTAACACTATGCACTGCCACTGATGCTCTGGATGGGCAAGGGCGTCCAAGCGCACTGGCACATTACTAACTTGTTCCAGGCGTAGAAGACGTGGAAATGCAGATATGTGCATGCTTCCCAGCCGCCATCCAACTCGTGCGCTATGGAAATTTCCCATGCGCGCCCGTGCTACCATCTCTGGCAGTAGACTTGCGTGTCTTAGACTTCGCCATGAACCTTTTCCTCCAAATCGCGCCCAACAACACGGTGTTATCTGTCACCCTCGAACGTTGCCTCGGGAGCATGGGGTTCCAGCTGGAGCACCAGGTCTGTGCGATACGACAGGACCAAGACACTGCCTGACCATTCCACAGAATTCCCTGCATCGCCGATTTGGTAACTGCCTCATGTGGGACATCCACCTCTGCCAGCAAACAAAAGAACATTATAACAAGCTCGTGGAGGCGGCACACGACATCCATCTGGGCATGGGGCAGTCAGAGGAAGAGGAAGCGGTAGCACCAGTGCCTCCGGACGAGGATAACCAGGGACCCCGGTGGAGCTTACTTGGGTGGGAAGCCACCCCGCCTGCAACTCCTGTCAACTCTGCTGATCCCCCATTGCCCATGTCTCGCGGACGCGAACGCCATCGGTGACCGTATGGGCGATCGGGCCTGTCCATGTCTCCGGTGACACCTACCCCAGGCTCACCTGCTGCAGGCCGACGGAAACGAGCCAGGGAAACCACCCGGAAACACCTTTCCTGGACCCCTTGCTTCGGACACAGCCCAGCGACTACTTACGACGTCGATGTCCAGCAGCTTCGGCAACGTGAAACACAACCCTTCGATGATGTGAGTACAGTTTCTTGCCGTGCCACCCAATCTAATTACTCCCTAGCGCGGACATCAATGTCTGTATCGACACCTGCTTCACGGAGAAGAAGAAGAAATCGCTGCGTGATCCCCCAAGGACCCACCCGAAGGCCCATTTCGTTTCCGAAGAAGACGCCACACGAACGGAGGCATACATCGATAGTGTGCACAACTGGACCGAACAAGCCGGAAAAGCGGAAGAAAGTGATGCTCGACACGTTAGAGGAGGTGGAGGATGGATATGAGCCAGGGCTTCTTCTTCCCCGCTCGGTCCTCGATGGATGCGAGGCATCGTTCAAGGCAGCGGATGAAAAAAGAGAGAAGGCGAGCACCAAGTTCTTCGAGGATACAGTCATCATGGGCCTCCTCTGTCGCCACGACCGGGTGCTCTGGCTCGTCAACATGCATTCGGCAGGGGAAAAGCAGTTCAATGTCGTTGTTTTGATGGAGACCCTCTTCCAGCACCTTTTCGACATCTGGGTTGGTCTCCTCTACGAAGTCGCCTGCACATTTGAGCGCAGTTGTCGAAAGTGGGGCTTCCTTTCGCGCTTCATAGACTGCCTGGCATTTGCGGTTTCTATATTTCATGTGTTCGGGCATGAATGGGCCTGCCAGCTGCTTTATCATCCCCGGAAGCGCGTGGATTTTGGTTTCAGTAACGGAGGGGGCTGTGAGCGCTTCTGGCACTCGATCAGCCACTTGATCGCGAATCTACGTATATCTGGGGTAAGTGCGAGCAACCCATCCCTGTCCTCGACTAACCACCTATGGAATAAAGTACCACAACCGACTCTACACACTCGACATGCAGATTGAGCATGCCCATGATGCCAGCCTCACGCGTCTCGGAGAGTGGATTCGACGTCGGCATTTACACAGTGTCAAGAAGCGGCTGTAAGCGCAAGATGTGCTAAGGGAGAGCGGCCAATCGATGGCTCTGCTCCGCACCCAGTGGGCACTGCAGGTGACTACCCAAACGAAACCTCTCCCGCGTACGTGAATACCGGCCAGCTGAAATAATTAGCTTGACTCACATTTCACAGGTCGTCCGAAGAACAAGGGGCAAGAGGCTGTCAACGGAGTCATCCTGATGCATGCGGTGGTGAAGACCTGGAAAGCACAGCTGGCCCAGCTGCGAGAGAGTTTCTTGGAGGCAGTGGCGGAGGAGGACCCAGACGCAGCCGTGTACCAAATGCAGTTGGACGCGGCCTCGGAGGGGTTCAAGAAAGCGCAAGAAAACCTATGTCAGAAGGAAGCGGCGTTGGGGGTGACTCAGTGACAGTCGCTGAAGGGCCTGAGCACCGGCGAGTATATCTGTCTCAGGATGAACGCCAGCGCCCTGAAGTGCCGACTTCGGGATCGCCTACGAGCGAGGAAGTTTGAACTCAACAAGGTGGAGCGTTCTTTTAGACGGTTGGTTAACGGTAAGTGGAATGTGGAAGACCAACAGATTATTAAGTATCTGATGCGAACACTAGATCAGAAACTGTACTCGCACACAGAATCAGCAATCAAACGTCGCGAACCCACCATAAGCAAAGTAAACAGTGATTACAACAAGCTGTGCGGCGAAATCTCAAAGGTCATCAAGGAGGGCAAGGCTCCGCAGGGCACTATTGCACCCGTCCCGATCCCCGCCAAAGGAATATGGCAGCTTGATGTTGACAACGGTATCTGGCAAGATGTGGGCTTGGATCAAGACGACGGCGAACCAGCGGCGGAGCCCCCGCTTTGGCTGTGCGACGAGAAGGTTCGCCCTGGGATTAAAGCCATGCTCGAGCTGGATCGATGCAGCGAGGAAGACATCTGTTTGAAGAAGGAGCGATGCGAGTTGCAGGTATGGTTTGCTGAGGAATGGGCAGTCGTCAAGGTGGCAATGGAGAGGGCGAGTACGTGTTTCATAGAGAAACGGGACTGGCCAGCGAACATTCACTTCTCAGACTCCAAGGAGGATAAGTATCAACTCCGATTGATTCGCAACAATCTTGTATGCCTGTGCGCGACGTGGGATGGAACACTGCCGAACTTGGGGGTGGACACATCGGCTTTGCCAGCATGGGGTCCCTCAGCGGCCGAGCTGTCAACTTGTGCTCTTGATGCACATCTACCTGCTCGTGGGGAAGACAGGCATTACCACGAAAGTTGATCGGATGAGGATGAGAGCGGGGGAGAGGAAAGCGGAGGGGAAGCTGAGGATTTTGGTACTTTGGATGTGCTAGATACTGCTCATGTTTATCAACACGCCGAGGAGAATATTGACTTGTATTAGGGTTGTAACTGGCGCGATTGGTGTTAGAACGCGTCTCGCGCCGGTGTCACGTGGACGCGAAGATACCGGACTTCTGCCGAAACGCCTCACATCAAGTGAGGCTGTGTTTGGCGCGGGCACCTATTTGCCTCTTGCTTCCTACAGCCACCATGATTTGCAGGACGGATGTAGATAGTTGTAGCTAGATCATTTTACATTGTATATAGAGAAGTATTACCGTTTACGGACGAACGAGGCTCGGGAAGCGAAGAACAAAGGACGGGATCGAAAATTAGGAGTGGCAAGGCCACCGAGCGAAAAGGAACGTTTTCAGTGAGTGATCAGGGCTCGATGAGTGGAGGCCCACTGATAATAGGCCACAGGATGCCCATAACTGATTTTGGCCGACAATGAAGGCAGCACCACGTGCAGACCATTATAAGACAGATACGAACTTGGGTTTCCTCAGCCAAACTATTGTTCTCATGGCGCCGACTCGTACCAAGCAGAAGGTCTTGCACAGGCTCTCGTCCCCTTTGCTTCCCCATACCGTTCTACCCTCCATTCAAGGCCGCCAAGCTGCCAGGAATGCGGACGCCGCCAAAGAAGATGAGCGCGCATTCCTTAACGAAGTGGTATACCGCCTCGGAGAGGACGCGGGTGCGTTTTTCTCCACGCACCGCAAATACGACCACTGATTTCTATTGGGCAGCCACGTCTCCCAACGATGAGGTGATAGCCGCTACCTATCGCTTCAAGCGTGAGTTCCCTGTCGTGTGTCGTATTTATTCGGTTGCTGACCATACTCCTCACAGGCGAAGACTACGAGAGCAATATGGCAAGTACATCCAAGACACCGAAAACGCAGACCGGTTCTCGCGGAAGGAGC